AGTTTTGTAACCAAAAGCAATACAGATTCTGGAAGTAGACACTTCAGGCTATCTTTCCATGTGTGTATCTCAAAACCGATTTTTTGACCGAAAATCACCATTTCTGAGGGGGGGGAGGCCCTTAAATGAGCCACTAAGGACGATTAATATGTTGGTGACTTTCATTGTTTAAAAATACCCTTTTTATTCTGATTTATTTTTATCAGTGATAGTCAGACAGAGATGAGGAATAATATATTATTTGGATTATTATCAAATCTCTTTAATTATCCTATACTAAGGTAAAAAATAAGTAGTTATAGTACGTGGAGAAGTCTTAGAAAGTCTTAGCTTATCATTCAGTAATGTCATCATAGAAGATAGAAACGGCAAAAGGAAAGAAAGGGAGAAAAACAAATACGAACTGGCATGAAGAATGATTTTCTGCTTTGATTAGAATAGTGTAATCGTATAATTTTTTTTTTTTTTTGTTAGCCTCGCTCAATTTCTCCTGCTTTGACCCGATATTGAATAAAGTCACCGATGCATGGCTAAAATAAAATGTTAACCAGAGTTTGCCACCCTATTTGATATTAAAAACAAATAGTATTTTTTGTGGATAGTGTTTTTTCTCAAGAAAAATCTAAGTGAATTATTTCTGCAACAAGTTTTATTACATAGAAGTTAATTTACTCTAAATGAGTACGCACTTCTTAAAAGTAAACAAATCTCATTACTAACCGTTCATATACCAAATTGATTGAAAAATATGAATGATTCATTTATAGTTAGATTATTCATGAATTTATTTAATTTTAAAAATTAATGAAAAGAAGCACACACATTCTTTCACAAATATTAAACAATTTTGTCTCATTCATCAATTTTGCTTTCACTATGCTACTAGCATGAATAGTAGGAGTGTGCTAATTGAGTTTTATTTTTCATGTTGTCATATGAACAAAACAAAAATTGATAAAAATACTGATACCAACCTGCTTGAATTATTTTTAAAATTTATTCATCCTTTGTATATTTTGTGTATGTTGCTTTTTATTTTGCATTTATTTTATTTTTCTTCTTCTAAACCTCCTAGACGTGTACCGAGAAGAAAGAGTACATTTGAACGAATAAATCGGAGAAATTCATCAGCTGACTATGAATCAATACCATTAACATTCCAATTTCCACAACACGATCAATATCAAAATCAGAATTCTCCATTATCAAATCGAATGTTCAATAATAATGGTTTTTCATTTCTAATGTCACCTACATCATCGACATTGGATGATGATAATCATCATCAACAAAAACATCAATCTTCAATATTAATTAATTCAATACTAACAGATTCCAAACATCAACAGGAGAATGAAGATGATGATGAGGAAGATTATACAGTGTCATTAGATGAAGATCCTAATTCTAATTCCATTGAGTATGAATACCTGCTTTATTTTCTATTTTAATTTTGCATGGCAGCCAGTCCACCTATACGTTGCATTACTCACTAATTCTACTTTATTATTTGAAGTTGATATCTTGACATTTTACACAAAAGAGCTTATGTTTGTTGATATACTATTGCTAATTTTAGACGAAAAGGAAGAGTGAAGAGTGTAGCGTGTGATCGACATAGTATGAGACGGAGTACCTCGCACAACATTCACATGAATGATGGAATATTAAAACAAAACAATTTACTTATCAACGATGCAACTACTAATAATGATAAAAACAAAGAACAAGAGGTGTAAGTAGACTTATATCCAAGTGACCATATCATATCTTCTGTTTATTAACGTTTTTTTTAAAGACCAAAATTATCTGACTCGGCTATTCGTCGTATGCAAAATCGTTGGGAAACTGAGACACAACAGCGTGAAGTTGCTGCAGCTAAAGCACAAGTACCAAAATCTCAATCATCAACAGCAGCCGGGCGTCCGAGAGATCGATGGGGAACGACAGAAATGGGAGCTCAACAACAATCATCAAGTGTTTTTCAATCGCCTGATTTAGATAATGTAAATGAGCAACGATCTAATAGTAAGAGAAATCAAACATTAATATTTAGCATAGCAGCTATGTTCATTCGTACATTCTGCTTATTCTAGTTCTTAAACACTCCACATCGGTTGAAAGTCATGCTGTTCCTTCGAATTCATCCAGTCGTTTTTCACGACCATCAGCCATCGTCGACACTGTGAATGGTACAACATCTCCTGTATCCACAACAATTTTATCACCTTCAATTTCACAAAGCCAATTGATGAGTTCACGAGGATCAGATGCAAAACTATTGCCTGCTCAGCAACGTATCACAGTCGGTTCACAACCAACCACCGCAAACTCTCGGCCTCCATTACCAACTCAAAAGAGTGGCGGTGCTATTGAAACATTAATTCGACAAACCGGTGCTCCCAATATATCTGATTCAATGAATAGTAACAATGTACTAATGAAAGAACCAAAAATTATTTCTTCATCAGACTGCATTGGTGCCATAACGAGAGCAAAAGAAAGTAGGTGAATTATTATTTTTATATATTAAATTACAATACACAATTCGTTATTGAAGGTCTTCAAGCAGCCAGTACAAAACAAGCGACTACATCGTTAACTGGTATCGGTTTATCAGCACAATTTCCAAATGACTTAGTCAATAAGCCACGCTCAGAAAACGATTTACAATGGGAATATATTGTTGGAAAAGTGTTAAATAGAAAATTGGTTGTTCAAGATCTTGATTTTGAAGAACTAGATGAAAAAGATGATATTAACTGTATGACGATTGGACCAAAATTTCCCGGACCTCCCATGCCACCACCAATGTTTAACGGAATGCCGAATAGTTTGCCACCACCTCCTCCACCCATGATGAACGGTCCACCTCCGCCACCACCACCACCACCACCACCATCCACATTATCTGGATTTAATTCAGCTCTACTTGTTAATAGCATCCCATCTCCTGCATCATCTGTACAGCAACAATCAAAATCTATAAAAACAGTCCGTTTACATTGGAAAGATGCAGCAAATCCATCGAACAATATGATGCCATCATCTCCGTCCGATTCACTATGGTCATCATTACAAAAAGTAAAATTAGATACAGAAAAGATAGCACAACTATTTGAATTAAAACAAAGCGAAGTTAAACTAAAGGTAAAATATATTAGACTATAATCTTGTTTAAAATAGTATCCCATTAATAGGAGATTGATTCTAGAGTACTATCGTCCATCTTCGTCATTTATTTTAAACTGCTTTCTCCTTTTGTTTTTACTTATATAGGAAACTGTAAGTAAATGAATATATATATATATTATTTATGTTTTTTTTCTCAAGAGAGCTTCCATCTTAATTGACACTAAAGCTATTTAAATATTGACAAAAAATTTAAAAAATGATTATAAGATCGAATATATTATCTGTTAATTAATGTTTGTCTCTGTGTGTTCGTCTAACAATGTGTTTGTGTGGCAATTGTAGGATAATGTATTTCTATTTCTTCTCAAATAACTTAAATCATTTTTGTCTATTAGTTAAAATGAAAAATATAAAGTTAAATTAGAAAAGAGAGATCTTCGCACTCAAATTCATATTTGTAACGCTTTTATAACTAAAATGATAATGACTCCATTTTATATCAGCTATATAAGTTTAATTTGTAAAAACAATATGAAAAAACTAAATATCTGTAGATAATGCACATGAGTTTTAATTCTTTGCTTAACAAAAGTGCTGTGTGGACAAATTCTTTTATATTGTAAATGTCTTTTTGTTATACATGGGGAGTACACGTCTGCAAATCTGTTCATAAAAGATCGTATCGCATGTAACTTTATGTAGATTCGAATTACTTAACATTTTGGGTCTCTTGTTCTCTCACATTTCATATCAAATGGTTTCTTACTTTTTTTCATATCTCTGCACTAATACACTCTTCTCGTGTACACAGTAAGGGAAAATCATACAGGGTTGTTGTTCTTGTTGTTGTTGTTTTTTATAAAAGTTTGGATAGTTAGTATACATTATTTGCACATCACAGTTTCTATTACTATTATTATTATAACAAAAACAAAAAAGATTAGCTTCAAGCTTGAAATTTGACATAATTTCAAATAGTAACATATTGTAATTTGTTAGTTGTTTTTCTATGTTGAAGAAAACTGGTGATGTCAAAAAAGAAATTACTGTACTCGATACAAAACGATCAAATGCAATTAATATTGGTTTAACCGTACTACCACCAGCAAGAACAATTAAAGCAGCTATTTTAAAAATGGACAATAGTGTTATTAATAAAGAAGGAATTGAAGTAAATGATTAAGAACAAATGGGAAGAAAAAAACATATATTTAATCTTTGTCTATTTATATTTAGAAATTATTGACAATGTTACCAACTGAAGAAGAGAAAACTCGTATTATGGAAGCACAAGTAGCCAATGTCGATATTCCATTAGGCAATGCTGAACAGTTTTTATTAACATTAGCATCTGTAGCTGAATTAGAAGCAAGATTAAAATTATGGTTGTTCAAACTTGATTATGACAATGTTGAATTGGTATGTGAAATATTTTATAAATAGTCAACTTTTCTTTTTTTTCTAATAAATTTTATTCTTTTATATTTCAAGGAAATTGCTGAACCATTAATGGACTTGAAAAATGGTATGAAAAATCTAAGAGATAATGGAACATTTCGACGAATATTAGAGGTGTTACTTGGCATTGGAAATTACTTAAATGGTGTTGAGGTATACATTTTTTAAACCATTTTTTTTTTTTGTCAAATATTAATATAAGTTTTTTATCTTCCTTCTAGTCTCCTGGTTTTCAAATTGATTATTTAGCAAAAGTTCCTGAAGTCAAAGATACAATCAATAAACATTCATTATTATATCATGTTTGCAATATTGTTGTAGATAAATTTCCGGAAACAACAGATTTATATTCTGAAATTGGTGAATTAACACGATGTTCAAAGGTTAGTGTGTTCAGATTTATTTAGAATTTTCATATGATAATTTTATTCTTATTTTAATTGAAGATTGATTTTGATGAATTAGATCAAAAATTAAATAAAGTCGAAAATGATTGTCGAGCATCGTTTGATTGTTTAAAATCAATAAGTAAACATGAAACACCACAAATAAAAACTAAGTATGTTATTAATTAATACTCGATTGTAAAGATTAATCATCATTTTTATTTCTTATCAATATTTCAATTATATCGAATTTACATTTTTTTCAAAATGCGAACTAATTAAATGCGGTTAGACAAATAAATTTTGATTTTAATAATATAGGATAGGATCTTTTTTTCCCCCATCTTTCTTATTATTTTTATTTTTTCTTAAACCCATTTTTATAGAATTGATGTTAAACTATATGGAATATTCCATTTTATGACGTAAGTTTAGTCCATATTGCTTTATAAATGATAAATTATTATTTGTGGGAAAAATTGCTTCAATTTCTCATTTATTTGACGATAATTGATAGATTGACACAGATTCTTATAATTATTTTTTTCCTTCAAATATAAAACTGTGCTTGGCTTATTTGCTTCATGTGATTCACGCTCCTCTCTATTTGAGTGGGTTTATAAAGCAATTCTCGTTTATTCTAATGATATTTATTGATATATTTTTTATTTTATTTTATTTAGATTATCCGAATTTTTAAGCGATTGTGCTGAACGTGTTTGTTTACTACGTTTAATTCATCGTCGTGTTATTAATCGTTTTCAAAAATTTTTATTATGGTTAGGATATCCACGAAGTGTTATTCAAGAGACAAAAATTACACAGTTTTGTAAAATATTAAGTGAATTTGCTTTGGAATATCGTACAACACGTGATAGAATAATGTTACAAAAACAAAAGAAACAAAATCGTGGTGAAAGGAATCGAACAAGAGGAAAACTAATTACAGAAGTAACTTTAGAAATTCTAATTCTTTTTCCTTATGTAATACATCATTCATTTTTCCTTTTACTTCTAGATATTTCCAGAAAAAAGCAATATGCTTCGACATCAGATTGATACACGAACAGACGATGAATCAGAGTATGGTCATAGAATAAACGATAATAATATAAACAATAATACGACAACAGCAATATCGAAAGACATTGGACACATTAACAGTAATAATAATAAAGTAAATACTGGCGCTGGTTCAAAACCACAACCAGCACCATCGAGTTTAGCGGCTGCATTTAGTTCGTCAAAAGGCGAACAAATGATGCCCGGTCATCGAACAAGAGAAAAAATGGGACGTAAGTAGTGTGTATGTTTGTTTCATCTTAATCTATACACGTTTACTAATACTTAATTATTTTAGTAAACAATGCGAAAAAACCAACAGTTCAACCGTCGATAAAACAAACAGCAGCAAATGAAACAGAAGGTTTTGATACTGGAGATGAATTACTCGATGATTTGGTTAAAAATGCCACGTTAACTGCATCAAAAGACGCCTTAAAACAAAGAAAAACTGCTCGTTATGGACAGAGAAAATCTCGTGAGTTCTGAAATACAGTCAATAATACTGGACTCCATCCGAAAAATCGGGTTTTCTTGGGTTTTTCACAGTTCTAGATTTCTAGTAGCACGTTAGTAAAACCTTTTTTCACGTAAAATACCAGATTCGAAAGCGGAAACATTTTTCAATCGAACATACACCTTAGACAAATTTGCTCTTTAGAAATGAATTTTAGTTTCATTGTTTAATCAAACCCGACAAAAACCCGATACAGGACACTATACTGGAGTCTAACGAAATTTATCTAGACTTAAAGGAAACTGAACGTTGGTAACATATTATTGTTAAAGTGTTGAAGCTTGTAAAATGTGGAAAATTTAAGTTTGAATAATTTTACGAAACTTCTTTTCTTTTAGTTCGTCGAACATTGCATATTGGCTTAAACGAAGAAGAACGTCAAGATATAATAGATAAAAGCAAATAATTGAACAAAAAAATTTTAATTTTATATATTTGTTGCTCATCAATTTTTGTATAAAAAATACAAAATGCCCAACAACCGGTGTCTATTTTTTTTCTGTTTTAGTTCTCTATGTATGTGTATGTGTGCCTATTTATAATGTGAATGATGTACTTTTGAGCTTTTTCATCTTTTTTTTAACGATAAAACATTGTTTTCGATTGTAAATAAACGGATAATACTTTTTCTTTTTCTTCGTTATATGTGTTTAAAATAATTAAAAGTACGTTTGTGAAAATACTTACGTCCTCTCTGTTTTTCTTCAGCATTACAGTGACAATTTTATTTCTCCAAACGGTACAAAACTTCCAGATTGTTTTTAATTATTATATTAATAATTTCTATGCAAAAACGTTTGTCTTTCATAAAGAAGATGACGTAAAAAGAAGGATTTCTTTGCCAAGACTCTCTATGCAACATTTGAAACTAGATAAGTTTTTAGTGTTGAAACTTTTCGTTTTTAGAATCTCTTATTCTTTTCTGATTTTATGTTGACCAATATTTGTTTGTTTGTTTGTTTTTTGTTTGTTTTTATTTAATAATGTTGTATAAAATGAATTGTATTGCAGTATAAGTCATTTATTTATGTTGATTAATATAAATTGGCTAATAAAATAAAATAGAGAAACAGCATTATTATCCTCTCAAGTGTAAAATATGACAAATGTGTGATATGAACAATAACATCTCTTTTGCAATTATTATGATAGAAAAGTGAAAAGTTATCATTTCTAGTCTTCAGTTCTACATTGTTAAATCGATAAGAAATCGTATAGGTGTAGGGTCTTTCTTATTGAAATAGTTATACTACGACTGTTAGTTCTGGCAAAATTTTAGTGTTTCTTTAATGCATAGTCGAGTTACTTACAATTGTTTGAACAATTGTTGTCTGACGAAAGGAGGTTGACTTATCTGTAGAAGCTGTAGAACTAATAAAAATGGAAAAAATAAAACAAGTATTCTCTTGTAGATAAAGTAAAAACTATTATTTGTTTTAGAATGTCTGAATTAACATCCACTACTGATACGAACAATGGTGATAGTGAAAAGAAGGAACCAGGCGATCAATCATCGTTGATTAATTTACTGGATGATGCATTCAATGATTTTAAAAATAATGATCAAAAATTAAGTACTGAATCATCAACAACAGTGACTGCTACAACAGCAGACAATCACGATGACAGTATAACTAAATCAACAACAACAACCACGACAAGTGAAAGTTCTTTGCCTCAACCACCTCCTCCACCACCGTCTGATCCACTTCAAACAGCTTTTGAAGCGTTTTGTTTTAATGATGAAAAGTTTTTGAATGAACTAGATAATGTACAAAATAATTTTTCATCTTTTCCATTTGGTTTTGGTGAATCAACGAGTACAACAGGAGCTGGTGAAGGAAATGTACAAGATGAAAATTTATTTAATGTATTCATGCAACTTGGTCGTCATGCTGATTTATTACAAAAAATAAAAGATGAAGATATTGAAAAAGCATTGGATAAATTAGCGTCGGTTGATGATCAACAACAGCCACAAACATCGTCACAAACACAAGCCTCAACGGCAAATGAAAGTGATCAACATATTCAACATTTAAATAGTTTTATGACTAGTATTCTATCAAAAGATGTCATGTTACCAGCGTGTCAAGCCGTTGCTGAATCCTATGATGATTGGTTAAATAAAAACAAATCAACATTGAAAGAATCTGATTATGAACGTTATCAAAAACAATATGATACAGTTAAAGAAATATGTCAGGAATATGAGTCAAGTGCTGCTAATAATTCCGACGATAAAACACAATTACAAAGAGTATTACATAAATTTCAACAATTACAAACCTATGGTGATCCTCCAAATGAGCTTATGTTTTTTCCAAATCTTTTGAGTGGAGCTAGTGGTGGTAGTGATACAATGTTTACGGATATGTTTGCTGATGCAGATAAAGTCGGACAAAATGATTCAGATTGTTGTATCATGTAACCTGATTTAATCATGCTCACTCTTAGTAATCTTTTAAAAATGTTTGATTTATTTGCAACTCTCTCTTCTTGTGATTTTGAGCTAGTCAAATTATAAAATATATCTAATGAGATTTCTGTTCTATTTGATGATTTTGCTGCCTCATCACGAGTATATATGATAATGATTTTGCTTTCCATGTCTTGTAATTGATTTTTTTACTTCTTGCTACCATCGAGCAGAAGAACGTTCTAAATTGGCTCATTATCTCCACAAAAAAAACATCTTTCAGATGTTAAGGACATTATTTCGTCGAAAGTCAAAAAAAGATATTGTTTCTGGTTTGACATCTATCATGTTATGCTAAATAATCGTTGACTTTCAAATTATTTTATATTTGATATCTGTTTTGGTTTTGTGTAATAAAAAGTGTGAAAGATCAAATGTTTTGTTTATGGATTGTAGTTTTTAATCCAATATAAAAGTAAACTACATTCAGCTAAATTTATACCATTTTTGTATCATCACTACAGTTTTTATTCTCACATGGACTCGGAACGTATTCGGAATGCAGTTTTTCGTAAAAAAAATGAGACATCACATTTTGTCTAGAAATGTTTACTTTATACAACTGAGGTATTTACAAAAATATTCCGAACAGATTTAAGATACGTTACTTTGAGAGTTTCCACTTTCCAGAACATCAATTTCCAACAATTTTGGTGGAATTCTTATATTCATCACTTTCGATTCGAACCACTTCAGCTTCTTAAATTTTCATTGAATTTGTTCTGGATATTGTGATCGACTAGAAAAATCAAAAATAAATCGTTTTTGTAGTTTTGTGCAGTACTGTATATAACAGATATGCATCTGTTATGGTTATTAATCGATAACCATAATGGGAAATACCCGGTCGAAAAGTTAACTACTGACTCGTCAGTTAAAAAGCCTAGAATTTTGCTTCTATCATACGGAACTTCCGACGCTCTCTGTGGACAAACATATTTCGATGTAAGACTTGCAGAATCAAATATTTATGTAAAACTTTTGTGCATATACTGCAATGACTATACTCGCACTTGTACGCTCTACTCGAGAAAAATTTTATTCTTTTGTCTGATAATAGTATAAATGGAAATATTTTATCAAAAGCATCCTGTCTTCCATGTATTCTGATGAATCGAAAAATTTTGTCCACACATAAACAGGGATCGGACAATTCCAGTTCAGTTCTTTTGAACGGTAACTGGTTAGCCATTCTCGTTCCTAAGAACAGGAACTGTTGAACATTCTTTTCAAAAGAATGGGAACTGGTTACCGGTTCATTTCAAAAATTCAAAGTAAAATAAAACCGGTGACGCTAGTTACATTGACCTTGTTTAGTGCGCCAAATGTAGATGGTGTGCTTAGTAGGCTAAACAAAGTCAATGTAACTAGCGTCACCGGTTTTATTTTATTCTCAATTTTTGAAATGAACTCAGTTCGCCTTCTTTTGAAAACAACGTTCAGCAGTTTCTGTTCTTAGGAACGAGAACGGCTAACCAGTTCTCAAGAATTTTAGGAACTGCAACTGTTCCACCTCTAGATATTAATCAATCATATCACCGTCATTTCGAGTCAAAAATAGCGGAATGAACATGCCAGAGTGGTTAACTGTTCAACGGGTTATTTATGGTTACGGTTATTACCGGTGCATGACTAATATGTGAGTTTGTTAAAAGACTGTGATCATCATCTTCAGAAAGTAACTTACTATACTACGTTTTCTCCCAACTATCCGTATTGTAATCTGGGAAATTAAGGATCACAGTAGAGAGAAACTGAATTGTGGTCATGACGTCAATAATCATATTCAAACAGGAAAAAACGCTATTGCTTATTTAGATGAACATGTTGTTCCTTCTATAGTCTAAATATGAATATTATAAGACAACAGCTTCTCAATCTTACGTGTTTTCCTGAAACAGTTAGTTATGTGGCTCTAGCCAATTTTCTTTTTTTTAAACAAATTTATCAGAAGATTTGCATCACAAGCGTTAGCTACTGATTTGAAAAATATCGTCGGAAATGATCATGTATCTTATACTCAAGCTGTCTGAGATCAACATGCATGAAATGAATCTTTCCCTAAGTATGAATGATATATTTTTTTACCTTTTATTAGAATGTTAAATGTAATTTTTAAGACCATATCAAACTCGATGTAGTGGTATTTGCAACAAGTACAGATGCAGTTAGTAACATAGTTAAATATTGTTCATCAAAACAAATTCCAGTAATACAATTCGGAACAGGAACTGGAGTAGAAGATGGAGTCATAGCCACCAACGTAAGTTAGCCAGTGTTTTATCTGGGTATCGTTTTTCGAGTGGACGGTTGAAATTTTCGGAGGGACTGCTGACTAAAAAAGTTTTGCTAAAACGAAATCAACTGTTTAGTTTCGGATGGGCACTGTCCACTCGGTCCACCCACTAGATAAATCACTGAGGTTAGCACGATTAGTTCGAAGTTTTATTACATCATATCTCAATTCGAAGGGTGACGTATGCCTAAATTTAACAAAAATGAATAAAATTATTTAGGTCGGATGCGGAGGATTTTGATTGTACAGTTCAAGCTGATGTTTCACAAAATTCGTTAAATACTTTTCTAAGAGATAAGAGTCTATGGTTTCCTGTTGATCCACTAAATGTGAGAATTCATTTATTGTTAACATACTTTGTCATGAATTAAATCGTTTATTTGTTTTCATTAACATAGATACGGAACAATGAGAGAAAATGTAATAAACATGGAAATAGTGAGGGTTAATGGTAGTATTATTAAAACAGCTGGTCTCAAAGATCGTCGAAGTGAACATGACAAAAGACGAAAACACATGATTAGATTTATTTTAAATTTTTTTCATCAGCAAGACATTTTCTGGTTATAAGTTAACAAATTTATTTATGGGTATTGAGGACACTTTGAGTATTATAACTGAAGCTACTCTTAGACCCCATGAACCGTGCACGCTGTACCAGAAGCGGTATACAGAGTCTTCTTTGTACAGTTCACATTGGTGTCAAAAGTGTTTGATTTTACATCTAAGATTTTGGCGGTTGTTTATCTGTTTAAAAAATAAATTGTTATTTAGCTGTTAATATTACTGACAAACATTTACTGGTGGATGAATTTGGACTACATGAAATTAATAGTATTAATTTAATACAATGAAAATAATTAAAACAGCATTATATCCATTATGGATATTAAATTCAGGAAAAGTTGAATTTTATTATTATTATACATTTCTTAAAAGTGTTATTTTGACGAAGAAAGTTTCATTCTTTACTAAACAGTTTTTGTTTGTTGATGAAATGCTCTAGAACATGTAAAGACTCAATTTCGTACAAATGTGTTTAAAACACACGTGAATCTCGAAACGTTACATCCACAGCAGGAAAGAACAGAATATAATCTTCATTAGGAGGAGCATCAAAAAATTTAATCCCACTTACCTCTGATTTTCGAACATTAGACTTAATCAAATTTATTACTGTCTATGATTTTATTTTTGTTTGTTTGTTTGTTGGTCTATTTAAATTTAAAATGCTGAATGTTTTTTATTTTTTCTGTTACCTTCAAATTTATACGCAAAAATGTTTTGATAATACTTTGTTAATAATAATTTGTTGTACTAATTTCAACTTGTCATAAACATTTTCTTAATAATAACAACAAAAGCAACGAAATATTTGGTTGACCGCTTTTAGTTCTGTTTTTGTTTTGTTTACATTACCTTTTATGACACTCGAAATGTTTCCATTACTTTGATAAAAAAGAATACATTGGATCTGTAAGAATAAGAAGAATAGTTTCTTAATCGATAAAGTTTGACTGAAGAAAAGAATCATAGTCGCTAGTGTAAGAAAATACAATGCTGTGAAGCTAGTTTACGGAGAATTTGGCTAAAACGAACACAGACGGAAGTGACTTATCCACAAAATTTTGCATAGGGAATGACCGTTATGGTCGAAGGACTTTCAAAATGTTAGAAAATGATTTGATTCATTATCATTCGATTCTGGACGATATACTACAAGAAAAAATATTTTTGCATGGTGAGAGTAACAGTAATTTCAAAAGGAAAATTTTGTTGGACATCGTTTTCTGCAAGTGCAATTCGCATACGGATTACATCATTTTTAATGTGTGCTAAGCAACCATTGTCAACGTAGGATAAAAACGTAGGATTGTACCGAAGAATAATATTTTTCATGAATTGTGTGCAAAGTGTTTCTGGATAAATCATACATAATCTGAAAGTAGGTCTTCTGGACTATCGATTCATAAAAATAATTTTTGTTTTTACACTTTCGCTTCGGAAAAAATAATTGTTCTTTCTACGCTGAAGGTTTTCCCAAAATCCTTATGTAGTATAGTGAGTTTCTACACTTTCGACAACTTCAAATCCGATGAAACTTTCACAGAATATCCTTCTACTTGTGATACATCTTTACAGGCAACATAAAGATGCATAAATGGTCCTGAGTTACAAGTTTTCCAAAACCCCTGGCTTTTGAGATAAAATCCACCTTTCCCAGGCTAGACACATTTTTATTTGAAAAATAATTACATATTCGGAAGCAGCAAATAATCGAACATCGATTACTCGAGGTTTAAACGAAAGAACTTCTATTATTTTCGATTTCAAAATCGGTGCATACCTAATGATCTGAGATTTTTCTTCTTATTTTTTCCAATCCGCATCACTAAATGATACAGATTGGAAAAAATAAGAAAAAAAATCTCAGGTCATTACAATTACGTTATTCTAGATAGAATTCCAGACTGGATTTGGCCGTAGTAGAAAAACTGAATATTCCTTCTTCTAAGAACGAATAACTGTATATTTCACTTATTCGAACACATAAATCAATAATTGATGGTTTGACTTTTTTTAAGCAACAGAAATTTTTTTTTTCTTGCGTTCTTTGAAAAAAAATTCTTATCTCAGTGAAGCACCTCTCGAAAAGTCTGACTGATCGCGACCGCTCTGCCTGACACACTGTATGGCTTGTCAATATGTTCCCACTGTGTGCCGCATACAGGCAATTTTGACTTGGCACGTGGAGATATGCTAGAAAAGTGATACGAAAGTCTCTAAGCACTCTTTTTATAGGTTTTCGTATATGCTATTTTCCATGGCATGGTCTTCAAACTTTCCAAGTATGTTCGGTTTTTCAGAGATAGGATCTCTGGAAAACCAATACAAGCGTACTTGGAAAGTTTGAAGACCATGCCATGGAAAATAGCATATACGAAAACCTATAAAAAGAGTGCTTAGAGACTTTCGTATCACTTTTCTAGCATATCTCCACGTGCCAAGTCAAAATTGCCTGTATGCGGCACACAGTGGGAACATATTGACAAGCCATACAGTGTGTCAGGCAGAGCGGTCGCGATCAGTCAGACTTTTCGAGAGGTGCTTCACTGACGAGGGAACCTTTCGAGGTGATTAAAAGCTTTTTGATCGGCATCTAGTGGGTTATGGGTTATCGACCATACTGATTCCGAATATGATCATGGGACTGGCCCATAGCTCTTCGAACATCCAGTCTTCTGGAAAACCAGTTTTTCAGAAATCACAAAAAATAATCCAAGCCTTTCTTAATAATGCAGGATTGTAGCGCGCAAATTTCTGATTAAAATGATACATTCCCCAGCTCTACACGACCTTTCTTTGCAAAGTTATAGAATTTATAAGAGCCCTACATTAATTCTTTCCTTCTTATTTCTGTAGCTTTGAGCTGACAATGAACAATTTAAGGCTCTTCTTATAAATTCTATAACTTTGCAAAGAAAGGTCGTGTAGAGCTGGGGAATGTATCATTTTAATCAGAAATTTGCGCGCTACAATCCTGCATTATTAAGAAAGGCTTGGATTATTTTTTGTGATTTCTGAAAAACTGGTTTTCCAGAAGACTGGATGTTCGAAGAGCTATGGGCCAGTCCCATGATCATATTCGGAATCAGCATGGTCGATAACCTATAACCCACTAGAGGTCGATCAAAAAGCTTTTAATCACCTCGAAAGGTTCCCTCGTGAGATAAGAATTTTTTTTCAAAGAAAGGAAGAAAAAAAACATTGTGCTGGAAAAATCGAGAATTATTAATTTTTTTGGGGAATGTGCCCCCTCTCCCAGTAACGTCAGCCTTGGTGCGTTGTCGATATTCATGGTTATTTCTAAGAGAATCACAGATTCCAGATAATGTTAAAGGCTTGCGTGAAACGTTAAAAATGTATATATAAAGTAAACGTATGACCAAAACAAGAAAACCGAAAGAGAAAAAAAATAAAATAAGAGTTAAGGTAATCTGCACTCATACACATAGTCGCATTAAGAGAAGAGGTTAATATCTATAACTTTCGATCGTATTATTTAAGTAATTGCCCAATACACTGTCAATTTTTACCATCAGTGTGGTTTTTCTTTGAGCTCATAATACAAATAGTTATCTTTGACATTAATATTTGCATTTAATTATACAGAAAAAGTTTGAGAAAAAGTATAATCCTTCAATTCTAGATTATTGATATATAATATTCGATATTCGCTTCGATTTTAACACAGTTATTGTCAAAAACATAAGTGATGTCATCTGGTAAGAATAGAAAAAAACGTATATGCTACTTGTTTTTTTAACTGTTTTATTTTATATCTAGAAAATCCATGTGACAATATGCCATCGCCAAATCCAATTGCCTTAGACGAACTATTGGAACATATTGACGCAGAACCGATTCATGTTATGCCATCGCCAAATCCGATTGCCTTAAACAGACTATTGGACCCAGAACTGAGTCAAGGTAAGAATAATAAACGTTATTGTTTATGTACAGCCCCTCGCTAACAGAAATACACGCGCCTACTTGTTGAAGTACATCGATATTAGCAGTTTGTTTGTATGATCATACAGAAAAACGAACTCATAATCTCTCGTTTTGAAAGTTACAGTGGAATTATAAGAAACTTTCTGATGATTTATGTGTTCGAATAAGTGAAATATACAGTTATTCGTTCTTAGAAGAAGGAATATTCAGTTTTTCTACTACGGCCAAATCCAGTCTGGGATTCTATCTAGAATAACGTAATTGTAATGACCTGAGATTTTTTTTCTTATTTTTTCCAATCTGTATCATTTAGTGATGCGGATTGGAAAAAATAAGAAGAAAAATCTCAGATCATTAGGTATGCACCGATTTTGAAATCGAAAATAATAGAAGTTCTTTCGTTTAAACCTCGAGTAATCGATGTTCGATTATTCGATTTTTAATCGAAATCGATGCAATCTAGCATCATCATTGCTACTTTGTTATGTAAACAAAGTGACAATCACTCAAAGTTTTAAATGCTTTGAAATAAAAATAACCCTTTTTTCTTTCTCAGCCATGTGTAATTCTTTGTAAATTGCATTACGTACGAGAAACAAACATTAGTCATCGATGGAATATTTTCAAACTTTTCTTCTGATAAAGTATAAGCAAATAGAAGGCAGACACTTTGTATGCATACATTTCCCCATTGAGAGATATGCAGTAAGGTCAGAAAAGCTTAAAAGACAAGCTTATTTTTAGTAATTTAATAGTATCAGTCTAACTGTTATTTGGCTAACATTGAACTAATAGTAAAAATTAAACAACTTTAATAGTAAAAACCACATTGAGACAGGGTTACTCACTGATCTCATTCCTTGCAAGATTCTTTACTTTTGACATTTCAGCCAAGAATCTTTCTTACAAAAAGGTAAAACATCAGTAAATATTCAAAGCAAGAATCTTGCCTGATTTCTTAAGACAAATTTAAAAAGTCTTGTCTGAAATGGCAAGAAGCAGAAATCACTCAAGAAAATCGAAAAGGAAAGCGATCTGCTGTGACATGAAGTGGAACGGTACGAACAGAATATCTCGAGAACGAAAAAATATAGAGTTCGGGCTTTTATCGTTTTGCAGAGACGATTTTGCTCATATATTTTCGGATAAGAGATCTCAATAATGTACGTGACGGCAGATACGGCAAAACCGTCGGAGCAATGACAGGGGTGTCCGGATACCTTGGAGGCAGGAGAGAGGCGAAGTCAATTTCGGAGTAAAGTTTTATGCTTTTAAAAACTAAAAAAGAAAAGATAAATATTCTAGGCGATTTTCTTCTAAAGCAAGACTGAATTTCCTTTTATCTAACTCTATTTAATTCAACACAAAGCCTTATAATATAAAAGCACCTTATAAACACTTTATAATATAAAAATACATTTACTGAAGCCATGATACAGTCTATTCTACTTATCTTATCTTATTATGTACATAACAGAAATTTTATTTTCTATCAAATGCAGAAAGAGAAAAAACAAATGCTTTACTTTAAAAATAAAAGTAAATATTTTACCTTTGAAAAACAGGGGAAGAATTCCTCCCTTCTCCTCCCCTCCTTATCAGGGCACTCCTGAGCCGTGGGGACGATGCCCACATAGATTATGGAATGTAAAAAAACATGAAAACGGGATGTTGAGCGACTCTCAAAACGTTAGGAATTTATTTCTTTGAATTTGTTGGCTTTTAACTTACTCCGCCGCCTTTTGCTTGATAGATCATAAAAGATCAGATTACCACTTATAGAAGACAGAATGAATATAAATTCTAATATTACGGTTGGATAAACAAAAGTATAAACTATGCTAGTCCGATAGCTTTGTATCATATCATATTTTAGAGGAAAAACGTTTTCTGACACATGTAGATTTCACTGTTTATGACTCATAAAACCTTGGGAATAAATGGAAGTATAAGTTATCAGTCGTTCTAACTTTCGTCTCAAAATTTGTTTTCCAAAAAAGTAGAAAAAGATTTAAATGAGATATAAATAATATTATTATTTTTATCGAATATAAAAAGGAAGATTTTCTTCTCTTCTAGGTTATGGTCCTCCATCGGGTGTAAATCCCTATCATTCATGGCCTGTGCAATCATCTCAAAATTCTATGCAATCACCTCAAAATTCACAAGGTAAAAGTTCTGATAAAAGATAGGACTACAAAAAATTAAAAAAAAACAAAAACCTAATTATAGAAGTCTAAGAGAGTCAAATGTAGCATTATTTTCTTTTACTGATTAGATAGTTTGCATTTGCTCGATGATAATATGTTCGAGATGGCTTTTGTTAATCAACCACGCATCAAAATAATTGCTCAACCAAAAGCAATTTACCGTGAACGATATCTTGCTGATTTTGACAAGGAACTAAACCGTGCATCAAGATTTATTAGGAGTAGTGAGAAGAATCATAATTATCCGTCTATAAAAGTATAACATTTTTTTTTGTTATTTATTATAACCAACACATTTTTTATGCGCTTTAGATTCCAACTGTATATCGAGATACTCAAAATTTGATTCGAGTAGCATTAGTCACAGTGCCAACTTCTACCGCTCCAGATCGGTATGTTCATCCTTATTCACTTACAGTACCAGAATCAGAAACGGGTGTAATTCACGATAAAAAATCAAATGCATTATATTTTCCAATCACAGAACAAGATATTGAAGAAAAAAATGATGGAATTAAACGGTAAGTAAAACGTTTTTCATTTCTTTTTTTTCAACTCTCATACTTTTTTCTGCTTTTAGTTTTTGTTCTTTAATGTTAATTAAACACAAGCAAGATGTATTAAATTCACATGGTCCAATGTGTTTGTTTGATCATGGTATGTTTTTGTTTTAAAAGAATATTTTATATGAATTGATTGATCGTATTATCTATTATGTTTAGATAGTCTGCCAACGGAAAATCAAGAACATTTAAGTAAAAACAAAACCGCAAAAGATTTAATTCGTATGTTTAAGTTGTTCCAATCACAATTAGCATTTACTGTTCTTAAACCACAAAATGAACAATACGTAATTCTCAAAGAAACAACAGTTTATTCACAGATAATGGTCGAAGAAACTGAAAACAAGAAACAAAGTATATATATATATATATATCTATTCTTCTGTTTTTATTTTAAACTAAATTAAAATATTTTTTATTGTAGATAAAAATACTACTACATATCAAATTCATAGATATGCGCCAAAATATGGTGGATGTTCTGGAGACGATGATGTAATTTTAATTTTGAATACTAAAATTGATAAAAAAAATCGTAAGTGTTCTATAAGTTCATTGAGTTATTAATAAGTTCTACTTATCGTATTAGTGAGTATTCATTTTGAAAATATTATTGACAATGATCAACACTGGAGGGTATCAATCACTGATTTTGAAATCATTGACCGAACAATCACATTCAGATCACCACCTTATTTCGATAATAATATTGATGAGTCCGTTGCTGTCTACATTGTACTAACACAAAATGATGTTGAAATCGGTCGAGAACGATATTTTTATCAACCAAGTTAGTTTAATAAATTTACATGATAAATTTTTTAGACGAACAATTTTTCTTTTTCTTTTACTTTAGTTTGCACGAATTTTTATCAATCATTTTCAAACATTGGTCAACCAGCTAAACGAACATGTCTTGACAGATTTATTGCATCTGATGGAATAGATGATCAAGTTAATCCTTCCCAGTCACCCGTATGTTTTTTCTTTTAATTAATTTTTTTTTTCGACTAAAATAATCAATATATTTAGGTACCTGTGACACGTGACCAACAGCTTACATCAGATATGCAACAATTATCTCTTAATACTAATACTAATGTTGGTGAGTTCTTACACAAATAAAATAGTACACTTATCACTTATGTTATATTCACTATTTTTCTCACTTTTTTCAGAAAGAGAACTGAAAGACTTTTTAACAAGATTAAAAAGTTGTTTGGCCGCTTTATTAACAGATAATGATACACAACCATTGCTTCGTGTAACGAAAAAATTAATCAACAAGTATAACGATAATCTATTACATTGTGCAATTAAAAATGGACATACGTTATTAGCTCAACAATTGTCTGCAGTGGTTGCTAGGCTACCTGATAGTATAATTGAAAGAAAGAATAATAATGGAGAAACGGCTATAATATTAGCCGCAAAATTAAATCAAATAGATTTATTAGAAACATTATTCTCAATTAGCCAAGATCTTATTTATGCTGTAGATAACAAGAATAATAATGTTTTTCATTTATTAACATCACAGAATAATTCGAATAAGACAATTGAATTTATTTTGAACTGTTTGAACGATAAATCGATTAATATTAAACAAAAATTTGATCAACCAAACGGGAATGGCAAAACTCCGTTACAACTATCCGTTGAACATAGTAATTTTGAGAGTACAAAAATGCTAATCGAAATTGGACATTTTAACACAAATGTAACTGATGAAAAAAATGGTGACAGTCTTGTACATTTAGCAGTTAGAACTGGTGATTTATCAATGGTTAAATATTTTATCAATGATGTGAAATTAGACGGACAATTATCAAATTTAAGAATGACACCGTGTGATCTTGCTAAAACATTGAATCAAGAAACTATTTATGATTTTTTAAATGAAAAATATCCATTACAACCACTATCATCGTCAGACAGTGAACAAAATAGTGAGGATGAAACCGATTAATTACTCTCTTTTTTTCATTTACTTTATTTCAAATTTCAAGTGACAAACCGTATCGAATATCTGCTAACACTAACGAGGAAACATATGTAACTGACCAATCGTTTTTTTAATGAAATCTAGTGGAGTATAGGTAAAAAATAGTGCTGAATCCGAA